CGGCCAAGTCCGGCCAACACCCGGCCTGGGCCCGGTCAACTCCGGCCAAACCCGGCCTCGGACAACACCCCGCCATTGCTTGGCCAGCACGCGGCCCATCACTGTGCCAAAAAACAACAGTTAATCCCGTTAATTTTTTTGCCGGGATTTACTGTAGTTCAGAACACAGGATTTACTGTGCCTGGCTACAGTATTTACTGTACCTAGTACAGGATATTCCGTACTCCACTTCTGTGGTACAGTAAATTCCGTACAAAGTACAGTAGATCCTGTAAAAAAGTACAGTGAAACCTGTAATCTGAACTACAGTGACAGCTGTACTAATCACTACAGGATTTACTGTGGTTTTTTCCCACAGTGCATTCCGGCCATACTAATTAAACGACCGAAAAAGGGTATTTTCGCTGTCTAAAGCGCTTCCGGGGCTCCCCATAACACTCCCCGGGGCCTTTTTCGGTACCGCGGTATTAGGGGTAGGCGAGCATGTGTCGGGCCCGAAATGGCATACGATCATGTGTGGTCTAGTCCTTAATGGAAATAGTAAATAGTGGGTAGGCAGCCTCGCAGACACCCCTTGTTGAGCAGGCTGGCCCAAATTTGCAGCCAAATATTTCCGCGGAAGTCATCAGCCCTTCAGGATATCCCAGCGGTTCTCAACCTTTATCGGCTCGCGACCCCAAAATTTTCAGCCAAAATATTTCCGCGATCCCCAGGAAAAATTTCGAAACCCTACGGGACCTCTCCTATAGCAGCCTTTCTCACGGGGGCGATTATCCACCTTCGAAAGGGGAGCAGTATTGTCTCAAAGCTTCTCAAAACGGTTACAAATCCCTTTTGAAAAATCGGTTTTGGGCCGACTTAAGCAGAAACCGCGTCTGATCGGAGGCGGGCCTTTGTACTTTTCCAACGGGCAATTGGAAAAGACCTTCGATCAACATCGTCTTTTATGCCTTGGAAAAGTCGGTTTTTAGTCGAGTTAAAGCAATCTTTGCGTCTGATCCGAGGCGGGCCTTCGTACTTTCCAACGGGAAATTGGTTCTTGGCCCTTTCATTAGCATGCCTTTGTTACGGAGTGCGATTATGCCTTAGTTTGGGAGCAGTATTGTCTCAAAGTTGATCGAATCATCTTATATGCCTTAGAAAATTCGCATTTTAGTCGAGTTAAAAAATCTCCGCGTCTGATCCGAGGCGGGCCTTCGTACTTTCTCAAGGGGAAATTTCGTCTTTGGACCTTCCTTTAGCATGCCTTTTTTACGGGTGCGATTATAAGCCTTAGTTTGGGAGTAGTATTCTCTCAATGTTATCACAATGTCTAAAATGCCTTCGAAAATTGTGTTTTGGCCGACTTTCAGCAGCCACTGCGTCTGACCTGGGGGGCCTTCGTACTTTCCAACGGGCAATGGTCTTTGGACTTCCATTAGAATGCTTTTGTTACGGAGTGCAATTGTCAGCCTTTGTTTGCGAAAAAAATCGTCTCAAAATTAAACAAAACAGTTCAAAAGTCTTTGAAAATCGTTGTGACCGTTTTAATCTCTTCGAGACAAAACTGCGCCCAAATTAAACGGGTATTCGCACACCGTGACAAAGGCAAGCTAAAGGAAGGTCCAAAGACGAATTTCCCGTTGAGAAAGTACGGAGGCCCGCCTCGGATCAGACGCAAAGACTGTTTTTAAATCGACTAAAAACGCAAATTTCCAAGGCTATAAATGATTTCGATCAACTTTGAGACAAAACTGCTCCCAAACTAAGGCTGATAATCGCACTACGTAACAAAGGCATGCTAATGGAAGGTCCAAGGAACAATTGCCTGTTGGGAAAAATACGAAAGGCCCCTTCGGATCAGACGCAGTGACTGCTTTAACTCGACTAAAAACGCGAATTTTCCAAGGCATAAAGACGATTTTGATCGATTTTCGATTTTTTATATCCTGAGGGTGATGACTGCTGCTTCCTAAAAGTAGAGGTTTATCCAGATGGGCTGCGGTACTCACTTGAAAAAACAAATTTAGGGAAGAAACAGTAAATAAATAAGTGAAGAGAACGAACTTGTGTTGAAGCTTGTGGTGCAAGGTCCAATAGTAAACAGTCTGCCCAACCCCGGCCACGCCCCTGAAAAGGGGTGCCTGATCGCCATGTCACCGCGTTTCCATTTGCCAGGGCCGAGCCAGCGCCTGCCGGGAACAGCGAACAGGTCCCCAAAAACTCCCGGGCCTTTTTTACCATTATTAAAGGCGAGCGTGTGTCGGGCCCGAAAAACGTCGGTTCCACTTTAAAAAAGGTAAAAAGGCGCCCCCCGGGTGTTTGGGACCTGGTCGCTGTTCCCTGGCAGGCGCTGGCTCGGCCCCGGCAAATGGGAACGCGGGTGACATGGCGATCAGGCACCCCTTTTCAGTGGCGTGGGGGGTTGGGGCAGC